TAAACCAGTTGTTGCCTATCCAACCTGTCCTGGCATTGCCTATCCAACTGAACAAGTTGTTGTTTATCCAACCTATCCAGGCATTGCTTATCCAACCTATCCAGGCAATGCCTATCCAACTAAACCAGTTGTTGCCTATGCAACTAAACCAGTTGTTGCCTATCCAACCAATCCAGGCGTTGCCTATCTAACCTATCCAAGCAATCCCTATCCAACCTATCCAGGCGTTGCCTATCCCTGTAATGCCAAATGTATCATATTTGATTCATACAGTTTCTGAAATGTTTTACATCTGACACCTTTTGCATAATTTAATGGTAAAAACTTTGCTCAAAATCCTATTGTACACAATCAGATACACCTGATAACCGATGGCAGAAGACTACGAAAAAAAAATCTTGATTTATCGCATAGTAATAAATTATTAATATTAACATTTTATTTTAGTTTTTTCTTTTTAAATATTTTGTTAAAAGGCCAAATAAAGACTTAAAACAACAAAAAAAGTAATTTTCTATTTTTTTTATTCTTGGATCAGGCTTTTGCAGGGTTAACTAACCTATCCAGGCGTTGCCTATCCAAGGCCTGGATCCTCTTAGACTCATACCAGGGCTGTAGCTGAACATGTTCTCCTGGGGCCTTGGCCCCCCATAACAGACAACATATTTCATCCCAAACACCTACTATATTTATCAAACAGGCAACCATTAACTGATCGATGCATTTGATGTCCACAGGACAGCATTCAGAGAGAGGTCAGAGGTCAACTCAACGCCCAGAGCCAATCCAAACGCCAACGCTAACGAGGAACCCAACCTCAGCCAGATCCCCACAGATCCACCCGACGCCTTCATCCCACAGGCCGACCCAGCAAACATGGCCGACCCGGCTGCTGACGACAGCAAGTACCTGTTCCTGGAGAACGACTTCCGCAACAGCGGGGTGGCCCAGGCCGACTGGGCGGCCAAGAAGATGGTGTGGGTCCTCTCCGAGAGGGAAGGATTCGAGGCGGCCAGCGTCCGGGAGGAGAAGGGCGACGAGGTGGGAGGACCTCACTAGATACTGAAACAGGACTGTCTCAGAAAATTAGAATATGGTGATAAAGTTCTTTATTTTCTGTCAACGATCTGACCCTTCGGGTTTCTACAGGACTGTCTCAGAAAATTAGAATATGGTGATAAAGGTCTTTATTTTCTGTCAACGATCTGACCCTTCGGGTTTCTACAGGACT